CCAGCTTCTCACCATCATCACCTTCAGGCTTCTTCTCCACAGCATTGCCTTCCTCAAGGGGTTGGCTATCCTCTGGCTGTGGCTTCTCCAAGTCATGTGAATCTGAGTGCTTGTTGGCCTCATTCGACTTGCCAGCTTTTCTTTTGCGAGCAGTCTCTTGCTTGCAAAACAGTTTGGGCTCTGACTTGGCTTTGGGCTTGCTTCTGCCCTTGGCCTTGGCCTTCGCCTTCGCCTTGGCCGCAGAAGGCTTCTTCCTTGGCTCAGAACCTTCAGCCAAGTCTCCTTCTCCAGCGGCATCAGCTTGGAAGTCAGCGTCTTGGTCTTCATTGGCGTCCTCCTCCTTCTTCTTCTGCAAGGAGCGGTCATCAGAGCCAAGCTGTTCACGTCGAGTTACCACAGGAGCCTCGAGGGGAAGCCATGGAAGTTGAATAGTTGAAGCGCTTAAATTCAATCTAAGCCTTTCAACTAAACTTGTTTTGACAAACGCTGATAAAGGCCTGAACATTTGCGAGGTCCATGCCATTCTCCACCAATGAAGCCAAAGATGGCGTTTCAGCCTCGCCCTTCTCACATGCCGTACCCACAGCACATTCCACAGCCTGATGAGCAGGTTCCTCTTCCTTCTTGTCATCTAAAGACACCATAGGTTGGTCAACTTCTTCAGCACATCCGGCTGTGCCCATCACACTATCCTGAAAGATCTCCTTGTCACCCTTCAGGTGTTCTGGGGTTTGGGTCCATGGGACCTGGCTGTCTTCCAAGTCCTCGGTGGTTCCTGTCTTCGCATCAGAGGCAAACTGGTCTCCTGCAGGCGCAGCAACCTCACCACTGGGCAAAGCAGGTTGCTCAGATGTGTCGCCTTCCAGCGCTTCCAGGTTTGTAACCACGTAGGATTCAGAAGGTGTGTAGAAGGAGAGAACAACCGTGGGGCTCAACTCATCATCCTCATTGCCCTTCTCATCATCAGAAATGACGAAAGTGTCACCGTGCGAAACAAATCCTTTTGCAGGCGCTGAAAGGCTAGAGTCGTCAAACTGGTAAGGCAGTGTCTCCATTGTGTCAGGCAAAGAACCTCAAGTACATGGTGACCAACCAACAAAGGTCAAAAGGCCTTATAGGATAATACGTCCTCCAAGATTGTCGTGGTGGACGTATTATCCTATAAGGCCTTTTGACCTCTCTTGGAAAGGTACCCTCAAAGCATTCAAAATCTCATACTCATAAAAAGTTGGTGCTGAAATGGCCAAGATGCTGGAAGATTTCCCACGCGACAGCTTGCGGTCTTCCACTTGTTTCCTGCAGGGAAGGGAAAGGACACCATCCAACATGGATGGTCAGGGTTAACTCCATTAAACACCCAAAAAACAAAGGGCAACCCTTTCTCCTGATGGCGTCCATCTTCTCCAATAGTTGTTGCCGACGATCAGTTTCTGGACACGAGGGTTCAGGATCTGGAAGAGTGGCTTCAGGTTTTGGACAAGGCTCGCAAGGCTGCTCATGTTCATTTGAAGGGTAGGCAGCCTCCAAAGAAGTCTCCCACTCTGCTTCATCCTCAGGCACAACCTCGAGGTAGTTTTCGACATCCCCATCCTCAATCATGAGCATACGATCATTCTCCCGCGGCTCTTCCTCCTCAGGTTCACTGGTCCAGGCATCGTCAAGGATGGTCCAAAAGGTTGCGAAAGCGTCATCCTTGGCATAGACCAGGCTTGTTAAAAAAGAGAAACCGGTTGAACAATAACAGGAAACTATTTCCAAGGTGGGGGGTCCGCGTTTGACAAAACAGAAGGGATCGCGAGGTCTTTTTGCTCTAAGGTTTTTCATGACTCCTTGTTGATGAGAGACTGCAGCTGGATGAGCACTCCCCACCCTCCAACCTACCAAAAAAATTGGCAAATTGCCATGAAAAATGATACACGACGGCGCAGGCCGAGCACCCTTGGCCGCTCCGCGCCTGAACTCCAGCGACGAAGGCCATGGGAGAACAGCCGCTTCAACCCCCAGGAGTCCAAATCCACAGTGCCAAGATTAGGCTCCAAACCCATCGTCTTGCGAAGCTCTTCCACCTAGCCAAGTTGCAAGGGCTACACTTAGAAGAATTAGGGTCCATCAAAAGTAGAAAGTCTTGAGGGTACTGCGTGCAATTTAACATACAACAATATCACAGTAAAGTTCCGGGCCTCCTTTCTGATCCGGTCGATGGGGATCACACATGGAACCGGCGACATTTGCACCCACCACCGTGCGACATGCTCCAGGCACACAACATTGTGCTTCATGGCCTTCACTGAAGGCAAGCCCACTTTGTTGTCGGATGGCCAGCGTGTTATCTTGCCATTCTCTCTGACCCTGTTCCTTACCACACGCTCGGCTTCTAGAGTCGAAGCTAGGGATGCCATGGGTCTTTCAAAAAAGAGCCAGCACTAAGACACTGAGAGAACCTCGGACCAAAAAGCTATCAATCACCCCGAATGACCAAGACCAAGCAATGAGTAGTCCACTAGAGCACTCAAGCGGAGGCATTTGCAAGCCTCCTCTCGCGATCGTGCACTTCCATCAGAAGCCACGGGCCTGGCCATCAAGGTGTGCATCAAACGAAAGCACTTTCTCAGGATACCACATTTTCCACAGTCCATAACAATTGGTTGCATAAGTGGTAGTCATTATTAGAACATAGAATGACCAGCCAACAAGAATGAACTCACAGTGAAGATCAGTGGAGCTTGCCTCATTCATCAGCATCCCTTTCCAAAGCAGCCCATGAGTGTACCTGCCAAGGTTGAGATGCAGTTGCCAAAATGCTGTGGCTGGAAAATGACCGATTGGGGCACAGCTCGTGCAGATCCGGGTGGCCAGGTCTCTGTCGAGCCAAGAAAGATCAGCAAGTGTCACCATGCTTTATGATGGGATTGGAAAACATGAAAAGTTGAGTTTCATATAATTTTTTGTCGTTTCATCGAAGAACCATGTTCTTCACCAAACTGCAGCAATTCTGCAGACTCTGGAGGACGCAGGTATA